ATTTCATACATGTAAGTCTTCACAGAAGTGGTATCCCCAGGGGGATAGATTTTCAGGATTAATTCTATTCACATGAAAACAGTGCAATTAATGCATGATAGAATTATTTCGAATGAATTATTTTTTCTGCTTCTTGCTCCCAACATGTCTCAATGTTCAGGCTCCTGGCGAGATGCCCCAAACTGTATCTTGGAAGAATGCTCATGTTCAAATGAACAACTCAATGCCTTGGGTTTTAATGGTAAAAAAGGTTAATTTTGAGTCTAAAAAGACAGTTGTGTGATCTTATTGACTCAAAGAAAGGTGTGGGTGTATCAAAAAGATAAAGGTAATGTTCAAGAATTTCAAATGGAGGTAATGTCAAAATTTGGTTTTTTGATAATGACCATGAGTTATTTTGGGTAAAGAATCAATGTGTTTTATTCTAGGGTTTGAGACAGGGTAAGAAAGGTCTAATCTTGTCATATGTCAAAAATCTATAATTCTTGAAGAATTAAAAGAATCCTTAATTCATTTAATATTCAAAGAACTAAAGATTAAAATTTGTTCAATTGTTCCACCTTAGAAAGTAACATGAATTCAATCGTTTAAAAGATGTGTTCAAACAAAATAATCCTCTAAGTGCAAATGATATATGCCATGCCCCCTTCTTCGGCAAGCGCCTTACAGTTTTCAGAAGAATGTTTGGGAATCCTTATGTGGCAACAACTTCAACATCGTAGCCCTTAGGAGATGGGTACTCTTTTCTCAGATCATCCTGGCAGGCTTAGTCCTACAATCAGCTGATCCAGCTCCCCCTGTACTGATTTCAGTTTTTCTTTAATTGTTAAAATCTGGCTTCCATGTGGTGTAATGTGGTTAAGACCACTTCATCGAATCCTCCGTGATTTAATTTCATGTTTATGAAAATGCTTAAAAATGTAGATGAAGATGCAAAAATGCAAGAATACAAGAATGCATGAAATGTTCGAGGCATTGATCCAAGAAATGTGACTGTTATTATGAATAATCCTTATTGGGGACAAAAATGTTTTATCTTTTAAGAGAAAAAAATATCTTGACAGCTTCTGACATGTTGACTAGTCTTCTGCTTTCGTCTTTCACCGGTTGAATAACCTGTCGAACCGCTCCGGCCTCTCTGGATGAACCGTGAAAATGTTAAGTTGTTTTTTGTACTGGTCCAAGAAGTCTCGAATGATCGCATCTCGAGCATTTACTTTTGTTGAGCATGTTCCCAACGAATTCGTCATTGGAGCCCTTAATTGATAGGAACTATGTGAAGTTCATTAATATGTTTCTTGAATTCGCGGGCAATGGTCTTCAATTTCAGCTATCATTTTGTCATTGTTGTGTTCAAAAGGACTTCCGTGATACATAACCTTCATCTTGCCCCTGCAACCTCTGCCAGTCAGTTCTTCAAAGATAAGCTTTCATTGTGCTTGATGTAGACCCGATTCATTTTGGGTCTTTTATAATGCAGCAGAGTGATATACTCTTCAATTGTGGGCACCACGTTTTCTGGATTGAATGTGACACATAGTCGCCTTGTAGACTATCCTCTGTATTTTCATCTCTTGTATTACAACACCTTTGTCCATGGATTCAGATTATTCGAGTTTTAACAAACACGTTTTAGTGGATCAATGACCTCTTTTTAATGATGCAAGTGATGAAAATAAAATAAAATAAAGATGAAAAGAGTTAGTGAGGTGAAAAATAATCAAAAACGATCATAAAAATGAAAGTCCTACCCCACATGATATCTACCCCACATGCTTATTATTCCTACCCGAACATGATCTCTATCCCGCATGCTAATTTCAAACAAATCCTAACCGCATATTTGTCTAGTTCGCATGCTTTGAACAGAAAGTAAAGCATGAAATAAAACAGCCTAAGGTTTGAAGTGAGGTTTTGGGGTGGGCTCTAATTCTCCATAGTCTCCCGGTTTAGGTTCTAAAAAAACGGTACCCGAGTTCTCCTTGCTGGTGCCCCTTTGGGCTTGCCAGACCCTTAGTCCTAAACCCATCACAGGTTTGTGTGGACTAAGTTAAACTCGAGAGGACACATTCCCTTATGTCTATGCGGAGAATAAATTCACACGAAGACATAAGGTATATGAATCCCGAAGGCTACTTGCTAGGCATATGCGGTGAATAAATTCACACGAATGCGTCGCTTTCACCCCCACTTAAAACGGGTTCGGAGCTCGGGTTTAGAGCCTTAGATGAAAAAAGACTTTAAGGGCTGAAATCATTGAGAAAACGGTTAGTACAACTAATTACTCGAAAATATAATCAAAAGTAAGTAATAAAGATCGAAATGTTACCTTAAAATTTAAACTTACCATTTTCATTAAAAAGACAACTGGAAATTACCTTAGCCTGACTCACTTACCTGTGTCCCCAGCGGAGTCGCCAAGCTGTCGTAACCATCTTTCGGTTGGGCCCCGGAATTGGGCTTCGACTTGAAAAATGTGATTGGAGTCGCCACCGATTATTTATTTAAAAAAAAATAGGTTAATCGGATACCTTATATCTTACCTGATCTGCGTCTTACCAAAGATATGCCGGATTCGGGAGTCGGTTACGGTCAAGGAAGGATTAGCACCCTTGAACCGCCCTTTCGGTACTACGTAATTTCCAGTTGTTTTTAATTAAGAAAATCGAAAGTTAAAATTTAAAGGTAACATATGATCCAAAATTACTTACCTCCGATCAATTTGAAAGAGTACCCTTAAAAAGTCGAGAAACGCGTTAAAGGAAAAAGGAAATAAGAGTAAATGAAATAAAAAAAATAGAAGGGAAAAAATAAAAAAAAATGATGAAAAACTAAAAGATGAATAAAAATATATAATTATTAAGTGCAAAATAATAATAATGATAATAAGTAGTAAAATAAAAAAAAACGCAATCACACCAAAAGAAAGTAAAAAAGAAAGACAAGGTTTGGTGAAATATAACTGTCGGGAAGGAAAAAGACGATAAGGGGTAGGACCGTAGTTAATAAATGAGTGTGATGTATCCCTATAATATAGTAAGAATGAATAAACAAAAAAAACATTATGATATAATATATATATATAATAAATATAATAACGAAAAAAAATAATTTAATAAAGTAAAATAATAATAATGTAATATAATATAAATACATGAAAACAAAAAAATAAAGAAGTATAAAATATAAAAATATAATTAAATGTATATATATGCATATGTTTTAAAAAAAGTAAAAATAAAAAGTATAATATAATAAAAAATATACATATAATGATAATAATAGTAGCAAAAGAGAAAAATATATTTATATACGTTAATAGTAAAATAATAATAAATATAATAGTTATAAATATATATATAATAACTTTAAAAAACATTAAAATAATATTAGAATAAAAATAATTAATATATATATATACTTAATAATACGAATTATCAAAAAGAAATAAATAAAAATATGAAAATAATACATAAAGGACCATTCATCGGCGGCAAACCTCGAAAAAAAAAATTGATTTTTAAAAGCCTTTCCTTCCCTCGTTTTAAATATTCTAGTATTTTTCCAAAACGGCCTCGGGGTTGTGTAGATCTAAAAGAAAAGTTTCGAACGACAACCCCTTTTCCTCGGCCAAAACTGTTTTTTTTCAAGCACAAAGACGAATAACAACACATGCAAGTGAAGAAAAGAATGCGAAAGGTAAAAGCTTTCACCTTTTATTGCTCCTGAATTGTTTACAATAGCTTCAAAACAATCTATTTGCTCGTGTTTTTTTTTTCTTCTGATAATTTCGTATGCCCATCGTCTGTTACAATAGTGAGCTACAATGGCTATTTATAGTGTTTGTGGATCTTATCTTTAGGAGTTTAAAACATAGCAAAATTCTATCCTATTTTTAGGAGTTGAATCCTAACAGAATTCTATCATATTTTTGAGAGTTTGAATCCTAGTAGGACAAAAAAGGTGTGTTGACACCACCATCCAGAAATTTGGTTCTCATTCAAATGATCTCGAAGCTATTTCTTTCACCTTCAGAACAAAATTCATATTTGACACTGTTAAAGGATCTGAACACTCAATCAAACTCACAGACCAATGACTTTGTTTTCTTCCATTTCCCCCTGTATTTTGGCACCCTAAAATTCAAAAGTTATCAATGGTAGAAAGGTTTACTGCATTATAAGTCTTCTACAACATGTTGACTCACAACTTCTCTTAATTGCAATTCCTTCAGTACTTATGCTGCCAGCTCCATTTCTCCTTCGTGCGCAATCCCTTCCACTAGTATGGTATACATTGTCTCGTTAGGCATGCAGCCTTTCTCGATCAACATCTCAAAAACCTTCAAGGCTTGATCTGTTCTCTAGGATCCAGCTCAGTTGGTAGAGCACAAGGTTTTTAACCTTGAGGTCGTGGGATCGAGTCCCACGGAGGGCATTTCATAATTCGGAGGTCTCCTACGAAAGCTGCTCTCAACTTGGTGTTGGGGTAGCCTACTATCTTACCTCCCCTTTATCCCATTATATATGGGAACAAGGGTCAGCCATTTTTAATATAAGTGCATTGTCCCTCCAAGCACAATCCGCTGATTAGTGAGGAATATGTGTTCCCGTTTCTGCATAAACTAGAAATCACACTCTTGTAGAAATCATTCGGAGATGAACTTTGTTTACTTGCTAGGCTTTGAAATATGGAGAACGCCTCCTGCACCATTTCCTGCTCACAGAGCACAGCAATAGCATTATATGTTCCTTCATTAGGTTTACAACGTCTATAGATCATTTGGTCTAGACACTTAACCAAAAGATCCACCTTCTCCTCTTGGCAAAGTCAAGCAATTATCGGATTATAACTTGTAGGACCGTCCTTAAAACGTCCTCGTATCATTTCATTTAAAACATCCATAGCTGAGAAGTCCTGCCATGGAGGGCAAGAGAACCAATCAATATATTGCAAGTAACTACAGATGGAGAACGATCCTCACCATTCATCTCAGCCATGAATTGGTTTGACAGCTTTTATTTGATCCTGTGAAGTTATATTTCTGCTTGAATCCTTAGTTGTTGCATTAGTTGAAAGTGTTGTTCTTAATGCTGCAGGAATCAAAAGCATGGACAATACTTGCAGGTAGCTTTAGCTGCTAGTGTTTATCCATACCGTGTGGAGGCAGTCTTATCTTTATCTTGAATTTTAAATACGTGTTCCACTGTTGTCTAATTTTTTTTCTTTCTTGATCAGGAATGACTGCTCCTCAAGCTGCCGGAGTCATTCACTCTGATTTTGAGAAAGGCTTCATTCGTGCTGAGATGGTAAGATCAACAGTATTGTGGATTGCATCCCATATATATTCAGATTTTTCAACTTGAAGTGGCTGAATGGATGCAATTTTTTTTCCCTTTTCCTGCTATTTGTTTTTATCCCACGTTGTCTTGGCAGATGTTTTAGCTCCAAAAGGGAAATTCAATCGTTTTGCTGGGCAATGTTTAAAAAACTGGATCAGAGGTCAACATGGTGAAATCAACTGTTATCGGTTCAACTGGTTGGATCTGTTAAAATGATTGTCTAGGATAGAACTCAAAGATCAAAAAACTAGTTTTAATATTAAATAAAAATTAAGATGGTGAATAGTAATTAAAATTTTATATTTGATTAAATGGTACAAACTTTAATTAAGGGGTTAAGGTGATATGTGCTTGATAGGATGCACCACTGCTTTCCGTCCCGACCCACCAGCCAGTTTTTTTACAATGAAACCTGCCTGTAGCATTGCAGTGTTCTACTTTCCCTGCAGTCATCGGCAAACTGTATAGAACATTATTCTATTGAAAGACATTGAATTCATTAGATGCTAGCCTAAATAAATAAGTAATCATCTTTTACCTTTTCAAACATCTGCTTCTTTCCAAGTTATATGAAAATTCAGATATGCATTCACATGCATCTTGTTTCACAGTTAAGATGTTTAATCAAACACTGAATCGGTGGACGTTTGATCATGAGATGAAATATATGCTTTGTTCTTTCCATAACCACCAACAACTTTTCTGTTCTTAACAGGTATCCTATGATGATTTTGTCGCGGCTGGTTCACTAGCAGCAGCAAGAGAGAAAAGACTTGTAAGTTATTTCATTGTTATTAGCATATAAACTTCAAATCCGTAATAAATTTCCTGAATGGTATTTGCTTAATACCTACCATGAGGTTCACTTCTGCTATCAGGAAAGTAAGATTGTTTTGCATGCATTTATTCTATCTTAAAATGGTGAAACTCTTCCTTGGTCCCTATCTATGTTGCAGTGATTCTCTTCATTTTTCTTAAAATATCCTATGGCCCTATCCAACAAAACCCAAACTTGTATTTAGTTTTATCATTTCCCTGTGTATCCTTTAGTTTCATGCATATTTCAGCTATCCACACTACCAAATTTTCTTCACCTCTCTTGGATCTAATGCTCGGTATATTTTTTCACTGTCTCCGCTGATATTGAACTTTCTGCTGTTGAGATCTGAAGGTAAAGATTACGTAGTACAAGAAGGAGACATAATGCTGTTTCGCTTCAACGTTTGATGACCGTTTGTCCGAAGCTGAAGGCAAACTCATCGTTCTTTTTCCTATCAAAGCAGTGAACAAGAAATGTAAAACTCTCTGGTTTTATATCCTACAGCGGTCCAAGAGACTAAGATCATGTTCAGCTTCAGGAAAATAGTATAGGATTGAAATTATTCTTTCACCATAGACAAACCAAGAGATATTTTTCGGAGATTATGATTGACGGATTGTTTGTCTGTAATTCAAAAGTAAAACAAAGGTAAACCCGAGATCGAGTCTAGTTGGTGCTTACATTCAACATCCATAACTTATCACAATTTGTAGTCTACTTTGTACCATAATCAAAGATAAACATTTGTAGTATCTTTAAATGAAAAAAAAGGGGGAAGAGGGGGGGGGAAGAGAATCTCAATGTTGTACTTTTATTTAAACATATGCATTATAATTATAAACATTTGAAGTATCTTTAAAAGAAAAAATATACGAACTTCGTGCCAAAAGAAACACATGCTACGTGCTTATCGAAGATGCATGTTTATAAAACACAAATTGATGTTTCTACATGCTTATCGAAGATGCATGTTAATACAAACACAAATTGGTGACAACGCATTTGTATGAACTTTGTTTTCAATCATTCAATGCATATAACATAATACCGTCTATTGAACGATATTGGAACAAGAGCCTGAAAAAAAGTTGTCATGCAGTTGCAGAAGTTAATAAACTGTTGGGACTGTCGAATTGCATCAAGCATTAGTTTGCATAAAGTTCAAGATTATGCCAGTTTTGGACGACAAAAGTCGCCCTTTATAATACAGTAGAACAATCTAGATGCTTGCATAGCTTAGCCAACTTATAAGAGAAATCACAGATTTTAAAAGTTTCACAGCTTCCTCATGAGAAGAAATATCCTCTGGTCAAGTTCGAAGTGGGCGACATGAGAAGCTTCTCCCCTGAGCAGCATTAGAAGCCCACCATATGAAACATAGAGCTCCCTGAAAATAAGATCAGATGTTCAATTTTAAGATCAAGGAGACTATAACAGTGCAAAGAGATTGGATCATGTAACGTAGTGAAATAGCAACAAGTTCAGTCCTCTTGGATATCAAGTCTAGCGGTTGAACATACAAGATACTAGTGGTACACAAAAAGGTAATGGCTAAGAATGTTAATAATCATACGCTTTAAGTCCTTTCCCCGAAGCATCATCTGATATCTTGTATAGCTTCCCATGCATGACATACTCGTACTTATCTGCAAGAGTCTTCCTCCCCTGGAAAATAAGTCAATTTGTTAGGCATATGGAAACAAAAAATTGGCTTATCTTAAAGATAGAAGTTCCTTTACATATATGCATGCAACATACATGTAGATAAACAGCAAGATAGAGTCAGTGCGCCATAGCAAACTCAACTTATGTTAATTTTCTAATTTACGTCAACTGTGATAATGTTTTCATATAAGAATGGCAAATAGAAACAATTACAAGCATGATGACATACGAGGTAAAATATAGGATTTAGGTGTCCTAGAAACATACTTTTTGAATAGATCTAACTACAGGCAAGATGATCAAAAAATTTATATAAGGAACACATTAGGCATACAAATCATATCCTAGAACCAAACTGCAACCGAAGCACAGTTCAAAGAGCACTGGTACAACCTGAAAACAAATTCCAGTCACTTCCAACAAGACGCCTTTTGTTGCGGCAAAGAAATTAGAGTAGAGAGGTAAACTTTAACTACAACAGCAAGAAGAGTACCGGAGTGAAATAGCCGGTGTCGGGCGTTCCATCCAAATTCAATGTGTGAGCTAAAGCCATTGTGAACTTGTCACCAACATGCATAGGATATATCTCTGTATTCACATCTAGGTGCATGAACATATCACAGTTCTGGCTCCGTGCTTCAATTCGAGTAACTACACGATTTACAAACATATAAATGGGAAATGCTAATAGAACACTTAACTGAAACAATTAAACAAATGATTGGTACTATTTATTCCTTTTTCCAACATCATTGTACAACATTCAAAACATGCATTTCTATTCCTACATAAAGAATACCCAGAATATTTAAGCTTGACCATATATATTTATCTAAATGGCATAAACAATTACAACAAAACTCGACCATCTGTATAAGTACAACAATATCTAATTGTTCGTGTAGCTTTAGATTACTACCAGGTAACAAGAAAATAATCCAAATTCCATAGCCAAAACTCACAATAGAGAACTTCCATGCTTAAAAAATAACCTTTTCACAACATATTTAAGTTGACAACGCATGAATATACTTGCAACATATTACGAAGAAAAAAAGGGGATAACCCAGATGAGTGAAAGAAAAGCAAAAGAAAGATTAGAGCTTTGACCTTTATCAAACTTTTTACCATCTGGGTCAAGCTTATCGACCACAAAAATATCCTCGAAAAGTATTATGCTTGACATCTTTACCCTTCCGACACTAGATTTGCAGCAGAAACTATTCAAGAGTTTCAACGATGAAAGTGTGGCTATGTAAGAGAAGGGAAGGGTTAAATTTATATAGAGCCAGAAAGCATGCAACACCCAATACATAACTTCAAAATCGGGCTGGCTCTTATTGGCCCATTCGAATTAGAGCCTGTTTGGTGATACATCAAACGTTTCCGTAAATTGAAAAATAAAATGTTTAATAATTTATTTTTTACTATATGTTTAATAACTCATTAATTCTTTAGATACATGTATGTGTCTAAATAAAACTTATTTTTATGATAAAATAATTTATTTTTAAAATACTCTATTCAAAAAAATTATTCATTTTTAATTTTTAAAATTAATTAATTTTCTATATCTGAGTTGATGTTTGAGTTGACTCACAAGACTAAATTCAGTCAATATTTAATTTATTGGTATAGAGGTTAAACGTCGAGGATAAATTTTTGAAAATATATATATATATATATATATATATTACATGTCACCCAATTTTTAATATGTATTTATTTTGATCATCTAACTTTCTAAAATTTTAATTTATCACCGAATTTTTATTTTTTTTATTTTGATCGTTCAATAATTAATTGTTTCATTAGGTCAAAAGACTATAATTTGAAGCTTTTCTTTCTTAAATTGACCTAAACTTTCAACATTATTCTTTCTTACGACTTCATCTATTTTTCATTATCGTTAGATCGTCATTTACGATATACTTGTAATAAGATATTTTTTTCTCATTTCTTTAATTTTTTTAATTTGATTTTTTTCAAAATAGATAAAATTTAAATCGAAACATCGACTTTATTTTTATCTGATCCATAATTTTTATTGTCTGATGATATGAAATTGAGAACATTATTTTTTTTAATCTGAAAAAAATAATCAAGCATTTATAAATAAAAGAAATTCAAGGATTCAAGTTTATAAGGAAAGTTTCATAGACTTTTTTTATAAATTTATTATAGAATTAAATGATATTAAAAATTTAACGGTGAAATGACGTAAAAGAAAGAAATTAAAAAGTTTCTGATAAAATTAAAATATTTTAATTAGTTTTTAAAAGAGTTTTTATTTAATTTTCAGTAATTTTATGTATTTTCCACTATATTTATTTAAAATTTTCCCTCACTGAATCAAGTGTTCAGAAATAAAACATTAGCTTATTAACAATAAAGAAATTCAAAGCCACTGCTCTCCTGTGCCTTTAGCTTGGGTTGACTCTTATCCATTCTTCAGTATTCCCGTTAGAAGGTGGGACTTTGATCTGTTTTAATTTTCCTGTCAACTGCGACAAGGTAAACAAGAGAAGAAATGGTACTGCACTGTTGCCCGTCCATTTCGATTCCGATTCCCAAGCCCTTGTTAACCTTAACTCATCGTATCAAACCCAAGCCAAAATTCAGTTGCTTTGTTGTCCCCAACATTGGGGTTGACGATATTGCTCAACTCGCCCATAACAAGGTGCTGGTGGCGGCTGCAGCCTCGGCAGCAATTGGGCAGCTATCAAAGCCATTCACTTCTGTTCTTCTTTATGGGAAAGATTTCGATTTCAAGACTGCTTTTCAAGCTGGAGGCTTTCCTTCTACCCATTCCTCCGTAATGCCCCCTTTTGCCTTTCTTTCTCTTTGGTAACACTTCATTTCTTAAGTCACTTTGCTCTTCTTAGCCATTTCCTGATTCTGCCCTCATCTTTATCTTTTATTTATCTTATTTGTGGACAGTCTGTCGTGGCTGCTGCAACTTCTCTTGCTTTTGAAAGGTATTTGCTCTTCTCTAACCATTCAGACCTTTGCTTGCTTGTATTTTAGTTTTATGCTTCTAGAATTAAACAGTTCTTTCGATCGATCTCTTTATACCTATACATGTGTATTGCAGAGGGTTCTCTGATTCGATTTTCGGGGTGACGCTGGTCTACGCCGGCCTTGTCATGTACGATGCTCAGGTATGCACATGCTCTGTTGTGGTGTTTGCCTTGTTTTTATGGATGCTGTCTCTGTCGCCTATTTGGCTTTGCAAAGTTTTAGTTCTGCCACAACGGAAATTCATCTTATCTCTTTCAATGATGTTGTTTTTAACGAATGTTTGTTCCTGTTTCATGTGGATTCTTGGCAGTAGTAATCTTCTTGTAAACTAGTTTATGAAATAAATATTTTCTATCAAAATTTTGATTTGAAGGTGGCTGCATAACTCTCAAAAGTGTTTTATTTCCAATTCCAATAAGTTGAATCTTTTGACTTAGAAAGTATTATGAACTTAGAGCGTTTATCTTGTAACATGGTATTACAGCTAGGTTTATTATGTCTTTTTATTTGTGTTTTCTTATTGTTCTATTACATTTTCTGCCATATTTTTGCTTTGTTATTATACCATTGCCATGTTCCACAACATCAGAATTTCTTTTTGTGTATTTTGCCATTTTTTCTGCAGCTTGTTCCATTATGTCAGATTTTCCTATAGTGTGTTGCGCTATATCTTTGTCTCATGTTATACTGCACCGGATTTTCTTGCAATAAGTTACATCAGATTTCATGTTCTTGCTACCTGTAACCTGTTATGCAACATCTTTCTATTCTTGTTTTGCATTTCATCACACCAGATTCCTGTGTTGTATTTTATCATATGTTCCTTCCTAAGTACTTTACTATTTAATCTGGTGTGATGAAATGTGAAGGAAGAATAGAAAGATATAGTACTCTTTGGTCGTTTCTGGCGAAGCAATTAGATATAGTAGGAACTACGACGTTATTATGAATCAGGAAAATATGGGACAATGTTCATCCTTATCCCCCCCCCCCTAAATTTCTTAACATAAATAAGGCATTTTTGTCCAAAATACTATACAATTCATAATATCAATATTGTACTCTTTGGTCTTTTCTGGTAAATGTAGGCATCTATAGCCGAATCATGCATTCCTTTATGCTTTTGTGGTCTTGTCTTCTTTCTTTGGTGTCAAAGCATCTTACCTTGTAAAAGTTCTCAATCAAAACTCTAATACCAAATGAAACTTTCATTTTGTACTAAAGTGTGATGTGGCCAAGAACATTTCTTAAGCCAACAACCTTCTGGAGTTGGCTTAGTGGCAAGAGTTTTGAATGGCACTGAGAGATTGGGTTCAAACCTTAATATGTTTTACTCTTCAACTTAATCAAATCTTATTTTGATATGTTGTTCCTTTTTATTGTGTGTAAGCTATTAGGTTCTAATCATGTTGCTAATTAGTGTAAATTATTATTTTGTGCCTCACTGAGGTTATAGTTTGTATGAGCAGCATCTAGTATTGCATAATGACCACCAAAATGTTGAACATTAATTGTGACCTTATTCAAGCCTCTTAGAGATTAGCCTATCAGAGCAATTCGTTCATTTCACCAAATCTTTCTAAAAGCACATAGGCATGCTGCAGTGTTTACTTATGTGCTTTCCATATTATTTCTTATAGCTTGATTCTTGATTAATTACATGAATTTAGAGAAACTATTTATCTTGAATTCACCATGCTTTGGCCAAATACTTTACTATTTAATCTAAGCCCAGAACAAGTTAGATATGTCTCTTAGTATCAATTGAAGTGTTGAATCCTCTATGGATCACTTATCAATCTTCCCCTGTTTTATGCAATGCACAAAAACACGATATTGTTGGCATCTTAATTTGCAACCTGTTCGAATCAGATCAAAGTATGACCATCCATGTACTAGTTGACTTGGTATTATACAGCTTGAGGATTATTATGTGACTGAAACATAAGAAAGTTTATGTGGAAATTAGTTTGAAAATTACCAAATGGAGTTCTCACAGCGCGTTAGGTTTTGTGAACATGTACGACAAACAAACACCCATTTATTAATGAATAGGATCCCAAGTATTCTGTATACTTAAATTATGGGATCAGTTGTTTGCATAGTATTGCTAATGCATTGCCTTGGCTTAATGATAATCAAGAATAGTTTAGGAATTAGCCTTTGATGCACGAGTATCCCATAGTTCATATTACTTTACAATTTCCTTGAAAAGTCGTTATATTTCATGGGTGGTGTTCAATTAGTACATTGTAACTTTGTATCCATGTGCTAACCAAGGAAGGAAAACCCTTATGACTACGGTAGTAGTGAATGGTATGGATTATTAACTGTATATCCTTTAATCTTATCATTTCTAGGACATATACCTTTCAAGACTTTAGTGTTTTAAGAAAAATGAAGAGTTCGAGTAACATGGTTGTTATCATCCAATAGTTTTAGTAACATGGTGCTATTCTATAATGGATAAGGTGCATTCAATAATTGTTTAGGCTTCCATAGCCATCCACCTCTTCTTTCCTTCTGGTATTTCTCGACATGTGCCAAAGTCGTTTCAGTGGTTTGTAATGGGTTGGTTGGAGATTTTCAACTTGGTAGAGTAGTATTGGAACTAGTGCTTGGAAAAGCTTGGGAGTGATGTGTTGGAGAAGGAGATCAATGGCTGCTAGATCTAGTGAAAATGACCTGTTTGGTGATCATTGTTGCATAGAAGGAAAGAGAGAAACACTTGGAAAATAAATCCGCTAGTCATTTCAGATATTTAAAATTTCGGTAACTGTATAATCATCAGAGTTGATGCCTGTGTCGGCATATTATCATTAGTAAAGCTGAATGATCTTGTTTGGTATGTGTGTGTACAATATGACATGGTTATCCATTAGTAAAATATTGTTAACATCTATGGTTGAATGTGACCTACTCATGGATGTTGGTTTTGCAGGGGGTGCGAAGAGAAGTAGGGAATCATGCAAAGGTGCTGAATGCAATATTAGCCAAGAGACGGGTTAATTCAGTTGTCACTGAGGACAGAGATAATTTGATCGATTCTCGTGAAGAAACATCCGAATCTGCTGGAAATTTTGAGGGGCGTAGTCCTACATTACCCAAGAAATCTAGCTCTTTAGCTTCAAAAACCGCGAATATTTCGCTATTAATCGCTTCCGAGAAAGAAACAAGTCAAACTTTTGAGTTTGCAGCAGAAGATTATGAAGTTTTAGATCAAATTCGATTAAAAGAATCAATCGGACACACAGAGGTTGAAGTTGTAGCGGGGGCATTATTAGGTTTTCTTGTAAGCTTGGCAGTCTATTCCATAGTTATGTGATGTTATATTTATATCATATGCTTTGCGCAATGAATCTTTTACCTTTTCTATTTGGGGGATTGAAAAAGAATATATAATTCTTTTAGTAAAATTAGGTGTTCCAAATTACCAATAAATTTAGAATTCTTATTAACAATTTTTCATTATGAATTACTTTTGAAACTTATAGGTTTGAATCTTGACATTCTAAATAGAGTAAATTAAGTTGAGAATAATATCCTTATAATAAGTTGAGAATATTATCCTTATAATAAGTATATGTAATTTCAAATCTGAATTAATCGATAAATAGATTGAATATCTATCGATTTTAACCCTAGCCCAAGAAAACAAACTTAATTTCAGCCCCCTTCACGCTATATATTATCCTTTAAACCTCCAATCAAGCTCTCATCTTCTCTCTTCGGCGATGTTTATTTCTTCAAAAATTTAAAATTCTTTAGGGTTCTCTCTTCAATTTTTTTTTAATATTTTAGATGATCGGAGCTTAGCTTATTCCTCTCAACATGCATGACCACGATAATCCCTTCCACTGGTGTATCAACCAGAAACCACCATATGCAGAAACCGACGACAATAACACATGACCCATCAAAAATGTTTGAAGAGGAACGAGAGAAAACATATCTTACACATTGACGACAATCGAATCGAAACAACGACGGGGATTTCAAACAACGTGATTCCAAAGTAGTAGAACGAGAAAGAGAAGACATCATTGAGAGAATAACAACGACGAAAATTGTCACCAGAACCCAAACGATGTGCACGATCCCGACAACGACAACCAAAGCAACAATAGGCAGCAACATAAGCTTATACGGTGGCGACATGTCAACTATGTGATGCAAAGGGAACTCACCTTCTCTCTTAGATAAAAAACAATGAAGATTGGCTTTGGGAGTGCAGCTGATTGGGGTAAAGATGAGGGTTTGAGGTTTGATTATTGGAGATTTGAGTTTGTATAAATATTTTATTTTTATTTTAATCTTACATGGTAAAAATATTGAACAAATGTGCCATGTCATAGATAAATGATAATAAAATAAATCATGTCGTTCTTATAATGATTAAAATATGAAGTAATTTGAAAGTTAAGTGAATAAATTAAATATTTTTAAATTTAAGTGTCCAAAATAAGAAAAAAAAAGATAGTTGAGTGAAGAATGGTGTAATTTATCCCAGTGAAGCAGCCACACGTGATGGTTCTGAACTTAAAATGAGTATTTTTGTTCCCAGGTCAGGAAGAATGAAAATCATGGCTGCTACCGAAACCTCTCGACTTTGACAATGAACAACTAGTGTAAATCATGGTTTTGCATGTGTAAATTGATGATAAATATAATTTCATGCATGTTCGGGCTAATATTTCCTTGAATTCATTCCTTCTTAATGAAGACATTTTCTTTGATCTTCTTTTAGTATTGCCTGTTTTCAGGCTCATACCATGCTTCTGCTACTGATACTTTAGCTCCAACTCAATCCATCAGATATGGCAGCAGCACCTTAGTTTCTCCTGGTCAAACATTCGAGCTAGGTTTCTTTTCAACCGGTGAATCCAACAAATATTACTTGGGAATATGGTATAAAAGGTTTTCTGACACTGTTGTATGGGCTGGTAATAGAGAAAACCCAGTTATAGATTCACACGCCTTTCTTAATATTTCCGGCACTGGTAATCTTTTCATCTTTGAAGCACAAAATATTATGATTTGGTCCACTAATTCATCTAGATCAGCCAAAAATCCGGTTGCTCAATTGTTGGATTCAGGTAATTTAGTTGTTAAAGATGATGATACAGAAAGCTACTTGTGGGAAGTTTTTGATTTTCCATCAGACACTCAATTGGCAGGGATGAAGTTAGGAAGGAACTTGAAAACCGGTGTAAATCGATATTTGACGGCACGGAAGGGTGTTGATGATCCATCTCCTGGAGATTTTACTTATGGAGTTGATCACAATGGCTTTCCTCAGTTTATTCTTCGTGAGGGGATGAAGAAGAGGTTTCGAGGTGGTCCATGGAATGAACTTAGCTTTAGTGGTCTTCCTATGCAGGTAAGGCCTCTTATTGTTCATGTTGTTGTTGTTAATACAGAGGAGGTTTACAATACGTATGAAGTGACGGACAAATCTGTTATCTCGAGATTTACGGTGAACGAATCCGGTCTGCTTCAACGCCTTGTTTTGTATGAGAACACCAGTGAATGGACCAACATGTTAACACTGCAGAATGATTTGTGTGATAATTATGCACGGTGCGGCCCCAATGGAATTTGTAAGATTAATCAAAGGCCAATCTGTGAATGCTTGGAGGGATTCGTTCCGAGATCGGAACGCGAGTGGCGAGTACTCAATTGGACTGGTGAATGTGTACGGAGCACTCCGTTAGACTGCCAGGAGAGAGAAGAATTCCTGCAAATTGAGAATGTGAAATTGCCAGACCTATTGGACTTTAAGTTAGATGAAAGGTTGAACCTCGAGGATTGCAGGGCCGAGTGCTTGAAGAATTGTTCATGTACAGCATATGCTAATTCGAATCACAACGGAAGTGGATGTTTAATGTGGTTCGGAGAACTGATAGATATCCGAGAATACATTGCACAACAATTTGAGCAAAATATCTATGTCCGATTGCCTGCTTCAGAACTAGGTAAGTGAATTTTGTGTTATTCCATTTTGTTTACTGCTGCATTTTGAGGAAAATAATGGCTAACTTGATTTGTTGGTGTAAAGGGACAGGTGATTCAAGTTGGAGAAGTAGAAGAATAGTGATTATAATGGTCACATCAATAGAGATTTTGACCGATAGCGTTAGACTGACCGAACATATTGTGTAGTCCGACAAGGGTAAGAATGATTAAAATTAAGAATTTTAAAGATTTTAAGATTATTTTTATAATTTTATAAAATTTTGGGCTATTTTAGAATAACTATAATTTTAAGTTTTTTAATTTAAATAATAATTTTAAATTTTTATAGACATGAAATGTGTTAATTAATGATTTCTTTTAACGGCCGTGATAAATTATACATTTAAATGTATAACGGCAGAAATAGGAATGGCAACGGGGCGGGTTCAGGGCCGGTTTTGCTCCCCCCGTCCCCGCCCCGATCCCCGTCGGGTTTTTTATCGGGGCGCCTCGTCGAGGATTTTTTTGTCCTGTCCCCGAACCCGACCCGAAATATTGCACCCAAACCCGAACCCAAAAATATTATATATATAATTAATATAAAAAAATATAAAATATTATATATATAATTAATATAAAATATATATATATATATTATCGGGGCAGGGATACCTTGCCCCGAACCCGAAAAAATCCCCGAATTTTACCCCGATACCCGACCCGACCTAATATCATTCAAACCCGACCCGATCCAAACTTGACTGGGTTTCGGGTTTCCCCGTCGGATTCGGGTCATTCTGCCATCCCTAAGCAGAAACATTAAACAATTATTTTTAACGAAAATTTTTTAAACACATAAATTTAATTTAGGATATACTTGGACCGTTTATTTTTGCATTAACTCTATATTATATATATATAATTTTCTGAAAATATATGAAGTGATTAAATTAGTTAAAGGGTGAATCTCCTTTCAAATGTCCTAAGTTTGAATCTTCATAATAACCTTAATGATTTCTTATTTTACTTTGGTGAAATAAATGAAAGAGGCTCAAAACTATAATGACCAACGATGTAGTTTACCGTTGAAAAATATAATTCCCTCAGAAGCACAAGCGAAGCGGCCATCAACCTCATCCCTTAAACGCACCAACTAGGGATGCCAAAAAAATCCGAATCCGACCGAAAAAACCGAAAAACAAATTAAACGGGGACGGGGAAAAATCGTTTATGCTAAACGGGGACGGGATGGGGAAAAACCGTTTATGTTAAACGGGGACGGGGACGGGTTTGGTAATCCCCTCCCCGATTACCCGCCCAGATACCCGACCCGATAAATATTAAAAATAATTATATATATATATATATAATATTAATAAATTTAAATTAAATTAAAAAATATATATAATATTTATATATTTAATTTAAATATATATATATATATATACCCGGCCCGATACCCATTTAAATAACCGTTTAGGCTAAACGGAGATACCCGTTTCCCCGCGGTTTTCTCCGATTACCCGATGGGGATCCCCGTTTAAATCCCCACAGTTTTTTAAGCAGGGACGGATACGAGTTTTTTAAACGGAGACGGAGACCAATACCCGACCCGAACCCGACCCGTTGCCATCCCTAGCACCAACGGCAGTGGGAGAAAGAAACAAAAAAATGAGAATGATAACAAAAGAAACAAAAGCAAGAAAAGGGGAGAATATGATGGAGCCATACCCACAACACGGCCATCTGCGGGGTTCGAAGAACGGCAGGAGAAAGCACCCAGAACGGGAGGCGGACGTGCTGCGGTGGCGGAGGCTACAGCCCAAGGCAAGAAACGAGAGCTTTGTTTAAGAGAATAAAAAACGGGTAATTTTTTTGTCTACCCTAATACTATTATATTTTCTATCCATTCAATTAAATTTCATGATTCCTATTACTTTTCTTTTCGAAGGCCAAATATTCTAACTCTATACTATTCCAATGAAGAAAATGTGTTGCTTCTGAGATTCAAATGTGGACTTTTGTTCCAAGGTCACCCTCACTAGTTGAAGATCATGACCGCTGCACAAACCTCTAGACATTGACCTGAAGCAAATATATGCCATTTTTCCAGGTGTTCGGTTGGGAAATTAATGGTGTATATATTCTTCTTTCTTCGCCTTGATGATCGTTTTACTAATGTATAACTTCATTCATTTTCAGATTATAACTAAAGTTTCATGATTTGAAACAGATGCATGAAATATTTCCATTTTTCTTTCTTAATGTGGACTCTTGTTTTGATCTCCTTTCGGTATTGCCTGTTTTCAGGTTCATACCGTGCTTCAGCTGCTGATACATTAGCTCCAACTCAATCCATCAGGAATGGCAGCACCTTAGTTTCTTCTGATCAAACATTTGAGCTAGGATTCTTTTCACCCGGTGAGTCCAACAAATATTACTTGGGAATATGGTATAAAAGGCTTCCTGACACTGTTGTATGGGTTGGTAACAGAGAAAACCCAGTTATCGATTCACATGCCTTCCTTAATATTTCCAGCACTGGTAACCTGTTTATCTTCGATGGACAAAACACTACTATTTGGTCAACTAATTCATCTAGATCAGCCAAAAATCCAATTGCACAACTGTTGGATTCTGGAAATTTTGTTGTTAAAGACGAGGATACTGATGAAGATACAGAAAGCTACTTGTGGGAAAGTTTTGATTTTCCATCGGACACTCAATTGGCAGGGATGAAGATTGGAAGGAACTTTAAAACCGGCATAAACCGATATTTGACAGCACGGAAGGGTGTTAATGATCCATCTCCTGGAGATTTTACTTATGGACTTGATAACGACTCACCTCAGTTTGATGTTCGTGAGGGAACAAAGAAGAGGTTTCGAATAGGTCCATGGAATGGAATTAAATATAGTGGTCGTCCATCACAGATAAGCCCTATTATTTATCATGTTTCTGTTTATAACACAGAGGAGGCTTACAATATGTTTGAAGTGACAGACAAATCTATTATCTCAAGACTTACCGTGAATGAATCCGGTTTAGTTCAACGGCTTGTGTTGTATGAGAACACTAGTGAATGGATTGTCATGTATACATTGCAGAATGACTTGTGTGACGATTATGCTCACTGTGGCCCTAATGGAATTTGTAAAATCAATCAACTGCCAATCTGTGAATGCTTGGAAGGGTTTGTTCCGAGATTGGAGCGCGAGTGGCAAGTACTCAATTGGACTGGTGGATGTGTAAGGAGGACTCCATTAGATTGCCAGGAGAGAGAGGGATTCTTGAAAATTAAGAACGTGAAATTGCCAGACCTATTGCAATTTAAGTTAGACGAAAGGATGAACCTCAAGGACTGCAGGGTCGAGTGTTTGAAGAATTGTTCATGTACAGCGTATGCTAATTTGAATTACAATGGAAGCGGATGTTTAATGTGGTTTGGAAATCTGATAGATATCCGGGAATACATTGAAGAACAAAGTGAGCAAGGTATTTATATTCGAGTGCCAGCTTCAGAAATAAGTAAGTGGATTTTGTGTTTATTCGTTCCATTGTGTTTTCTGCTGCATTTTAAGGAAAATAATAACTAAATTGATTCGTTGGTAATAAAGGAACAGGTGATTCGATTTGGAAAAGTAGAAGAATAGTCATTATAGTGGCCTCATCAATGCTTTTCGGGCTGCTTGCTTTAGTTTTGATGTGCTGGTATATGATTCGGAAGTGTAGGAGAAAGATAAAAGGTAAATGAACTCATCAACACTTTCTAGTATTAACTTTATTTTTGTTGTGGACGAAATGGATGCCATTGTGGTTATGGATGTAATGGATACTATTCCAGTTGTTAGTATTGCATCTCGCGCCTAGCATCTTCTCATAGACCTATAGAATCTAATTATTTCACATTCAGAATCGCAAGCAAACAAAGAAGATCTGGAGTTGCCATTATTCGATTTTGTTACAATTGCATCTGCGACCAATAACTTTTCCGACTCAAATAAAATAGGAACAGGTGGTTTTGGACTTGTGTACAAGGTAATAGCTAGAGATAATAACTACTTCTATAATTATACATAATTCATTGAAATGGGACTTGTATCTTAATTTTTATACAAAATAACATGCAGGGTGAGCTATTTAAGGGACAAGAAATAGCAGTAAAGAGGCTCTCTCGCAATTCCCAGCAAGGTGTTGAACAGTTCATGAATGAAGTTGCAATGATATCTAAGCTTCAACACAGGAATCTTGTTAGGCTTTTGGGCTGTTGCATTAAAAGAGATGAAAGGATGCTTATCTACGAGTTTATGTCTAACAGAAGCTTGAATTACTTTATTTTTGGTTTGTTTTTTTTTTCACCCAGATTTCAAAATTTGTACTCATTTGACATGAAATTAAATAGTAAAGAAAATAAAAATTTTGCAGATGAAACCAGAAGAAAGTTGTTGACATGGCCAAAGCGTTTCGAAATCATTATGGGAATTTCAAGGGGGCTTCTTTACCTCCACCAAGATTCGAGATTGAGAATCATTCACAGGGATTTGAAAGCTAGTAATGTGTTGCTGGACAATGAGTTGAACCCCAAAATTTCAGACTTTGGGATAGCGAAAATGTTTGGAGGTGATCAAGTTGAAGCCAAAACTAATAGAGTAATTGGGACATAGTAAGTTTAATTTTGTTGCTTGAAATTAAAAGATTGCTTGTTCTCATCACTTGATTTAGAATCTCACTCTTCGCTTGATCATCTGTTTCAGTGGTTATATGTCTCCGGAGTACGCGATCGACGGGAAATTTTCAGTTAAATCTGATGTGTTTAGCTTGGGGGTGCTTCTGTTAGAGATTGTGAGTGGGAAAAGGAACAGGGGCTTTAACCATCCGGATCATTACCACAATCTCTTGGGACATGTAGGACATCCTTCTTGCATTGTCATATGATTTTTCCATGTCATTATCCTTACAATATCGGATTAAGAACTCTATTCGTTGTAGGCATGGCTGCTGTGGAACGATGAGAAGGCCTTGGGGCTAATGGATCAATGTTTGGAAGATTCGTGTGTTGAAGCACAAGTGGTGAGGTGCATTCAGGTAGGTCTGCTGTGTGTTCAGAAACACGGAGAAGAGAGACCAACAATGTCGCACGTGGTTCGGATGTTGGATAATGAAGAGATCACATCGACACTGCCTCCACCAAAGGAGCCTGGGTTCTACGTAGAAAGAAGTTCCGCTGATACAAGTGCTGTAGGTTTACATATGGAACCTTCAACTGAAAATTCAGTCACCTTGACTCTGGAAGAAGGTAGATAAAAAGATTCTTAGCAAAGTATTGAACGTAAAAAGCACATTGCTTTAAGGTCGAATGATTTGAAATTGTTTATGCTTTAGTGTCAGCAATTCGTTGGAATTTCAAGTATAACTATTTTTATATTTTAGAAAATTCACCACTATTTTTATATTAAATTCTGCCTGTCAATAAAAAATTGAAAAATGAATTATATCTTTTAGGAGTCAAAATGATGGCATCTTTGGGTTCCCACAATTTCAGAAGTGAAATAGGGATTAAGTAGCACCAACCGAGTAGTCTAAGTGGTTAAGAGATATATTATTATTTTTCAAGTTTTGAGTTCGAGCATCATGTAAGTAAAGGTATAAACGATCATTGTTAAAAGATTGAGAAGTCTTTGAACATATATTGTTGTCTTGTATCACACCTTATATTAATAAAAAAGAAATAAATGAATGTTTATTTTGTAAATTTTAATAGACGAAAGACTTAACAAAATAATATCATACAGTCAAAAAATCATTTTATAACTTTTAATAATCGAAGACTAAAATAAATCATCTAATAATCGGAATCATTTGTTTATTTTACCTTAACTTTTAAAGAGATTAAAGTTAATATTTAATCTTTTAAGAGAATGGCCGTGCCAACTATTTGCCTCCGCCTCCGAGATGAAAGCTTCAGCTCGGACAAGTCATGAAACAGATATAGGATCAGTTCTCTATTGAAATTTGGAAATTGTTTTTAAAAATTTTAATTAATTAATTAAAAATATTTGGTTTTAGAAGCAAAATAAATATATATAATTAAAATATTAATTTAATACATGATATTAGGAAATAAAAAACATTTTAAATAATATTTAATAATTTTATATTCAAAAGTTAAAAGCTAATACTTTTAATTTTTCTAAACTCTGGTTTGAAAAATATTTTTTATTCTAAAAAGTTCTTTTTGATCTTTTTTTAGTATCAAAAGTGATTTTAAATTCAAAATCTTTTCTAAACTCTGGCTTGACCTTGTCTTAAATGGTTATTGAGATTTTATTTTTGGAATATATTATTCAAACTTTCATTTAAAAAAAATAACCTCTTAATTTTTTAATTCAAATTGATTATTTTAAAAAAAACTCACGCTAAAGAGAAAAGGAGACAATCAGAAGAAAGAGAACAACAAAAACTGAAATACTCGAATCTATTTACAAAGTAAATATTTTGTATACACAATTACTTAATTTTTTAAGGATACTAATATTTCTTTTTACCATGTAGATTAGTTAATAAGTTTTATTTTATAAAATAAATTATAATTATTTTCCATAAAATTAATATATTTTAATTAATGTTTTAAATATATATTTATAAATCAGGTTATAATAAATATATTTTATAAAGTAAATATAAGTGTCTAAATTATAATTTAAGTCAACTTTAAGTGTTTAAAGAATTTTTGTTCAAAATAAGTGTCTACCGTTATCCTTTTAAGTACATACGTCGTAACGAGTATTAAAATACATCATTAACTAACATAAGTCATGTTTTATATATTTTTTAAAAAATAAAAATCTTGTTCTAAATAATTTATTTTTTAAAATTCTAGCCACTAAACATCTCCCCTACTCAAGAGATAAGCACTGAGAGAGAAGCTGTCAAGGGGATGTTTAGCAGCTAGGATTAAAAAAAAGGGTAAAGTACACAAATGGTCACTAAACTTTTAAAATACTTGCATTTAGATCCTCTAACTTTTAAAACTTGTAATACAATCACCAAACATTTAGTTCATTTGCAATATGATCCCGACGTAACGACTGTTTCACTACTATTAGGGTAAATTATATAAATGGTCATTGAACTTTTCATGCGCTTGTATTTAGGTCCCCCAACTTTTAAAACTAACAATACAATCATCAATTACATTATAAACCCCAAATTTCAAAATACTTTAATTACATTCTAAACCTCAAATTCTAAAATACTTCAATTACATGCCCAACCCCAAATTCATAATACATTCTCAAAATCTTCCATAACAAACTAAACTTGAAGCAACAATCCTAAACCGTTAAAATATAACCCTAAATACTAAATTTTCCCACCAAATAACCCAATATAATCAATAACATTTAGTTCATTTTGGGTCCATAACAATAAGTGATTATGTTGGGTTTATGATTTAAAAGTTAGATTTAACCAAATATAAGTGAACAATACTCAATTCGATTCGAAAAAAATATTTTTCGACTTGAATTGATTCAAAAAAATTGACACAAATTGACTTTGAGTTGTAATTTCATAAACTCAACTTAAAAAAATTCAAGTTAAAATCGATTTGTAAAATACAACTCGAATATCTCAAAAATTTTAGTAATTAGTGGATTAATTTTTAAGTTTGAGTCAAGTCCCTTGACTATGTATGATATATGTATACCACATATGAAAAAAATATGAAGAAATCTATGTATTGTATATGGTTAAAAAATTATTTAAATTAGAATCAAATAATATTATTGTATTATAAATAGTTATAATTAAATTTAAACAGAAACTCGAAAATTCAATTCAATTCGACTTGATTTAAATTTTATAAACTCAAATCGAAAAAATTTCAAGTCAACTATTTTATAAACTGAATTGAGTATTTAGGCCCAAAATAACCCTAAACCCAACATAATCACTTATTGTTCACTTATAGTTTATTGATTTTTTTGAAATAATTATGTTTTGAAGGTTTAGGGTTGTTGCTTCAAGTTTAGTTTGTTATGACAAATTTTGAGAATGAAATATGAATTTGAGGTTGGGCATGTAATTGAAGTATTTTTGGTATTTGAGGTTTAAAATGTAATTGAAGTATTCTGGATTTTGGGGTTTATAATATAATTGATGATTGTGTTGCAAGTTTTAAAAGGTGGGGGACCTAAATGCAAGCTCCTGAAAAGTTCAGTGACCATTTATATAATTTACCCTAACGAAAAGTGAAACAGTCGTTACGTCGGGGACCATATTGCAAACGAACTGAATGTTTAGTGACTGTATTGCAAGTTTTAAAAGTTAGGGGACCTAAATGCAAGTATTTGAAAAATTCAGTGACCATTTATATACTTTACCCAAAAAAGAATTGGATTTTTTAATAATATTTTTACTTTTACAAAATAATATCTTTTAAAATATAAACGCATCAAGTGTCTATTAATGTGTTTTTAACAATCATTATAACGTAGACACTTAAAAAAGTAACATTAGATCTGATTTGAACGTTCTTTAAAGACCTAAAATTAACTTAGAATATAGTTTAAGCATTTATTTTTACATTAAAGTCTTAATTTTAACCATAATATATTATAAACTTAATAAGTCTAAATTATATCCTAAATTAACTTTAGGTGTCTCATTATCAAACTGACCACAAATTATATCATAATATATATCATAGGTACCTAACGTTTTCAACATTATATTTATAGGTGCATTCATTGTAACATTCGTTAAATACCATCATCTGACACGTATTAAATTTATATATTTTTATATATTTTATTTTTGAAAAAGTTAAAATATTAAAAAAAACCCAAAACACCTAATTTCCTAACCCCTCGTACGTGCCTCCTCTCTCCAAGTCTCTCCCCCCAACCCCCCAAGCGGCGGGGAAGTCTTCCTTCACTGGGGAGAGCAAAACAAAAAAAGAATGAAAAAAACCAAATGATTGTTATAGAATGGGCTGCTGCTAATTCCACCCCTATTTCTCCTGTTCAGGCCACTCCAACCCTTGTGTATAAACACCGACAACCAAATTTCTCAATCTAATTTGAATTTCAAGATTTTGACAGACGGCGTTAGACTGATCGAACGCATTGTGGAGGCCGATGAGGGTAAGAATGATTAAAATTAAGAATTTTAGAGATTTTAAGATTATTTTTATAATTTTATAAATTTTGGGGTTATTTTAAAAAACTATAACTTTAAGTTTTTTAATTTAAATAATAATTTTAAATTTTTATAGACATAAGACGTGTTAATTAATGATTTCTTTTAACGACCGTGATAAATTATACACCTAAAAGTGTAACATCAAAAAATTAAACAGTTATTTTTAACGAAAATTTTTAAACACATAAATTTCATTTAAGATATACTTAGACCGTTTATTTTTGCATTAACTCTATATTATATATATATATATAATTTTCTGAAAATATATGAAGTGATTAACTTAGTTAAAGGGTGAATCTCCTTTCAAATGTCCTAAGTTTGAATCTCCATATTTCCATGATAACCTTAAGGGTAAAGTATAGTAATGGTCACTGAACATTTTTGAAACTTGCATTTAGGTCCCCCAACATTTAAAACTTGCAATACAGTCCCCCAACATTTATTTCGTTTGCAATATGGTCCCCCAACTTAAACCACAGTTAGAAAATTAGGATAAATTATATAAACGGTCATTGAACTTTTCAGTCACTTGAATTTCGGTCCCCCAACTTTTAAAACTTGCAAAACAGTAATCAATTTCATTCTAAACCCCAATTTCCAAAGTAATTCAATTTTATTCTAAACCCTAAATTCTAAAATACTTCAATTAAATTCTAAAATACTTCAATTTAAGGTAATATAGGCTTGAAGAAAGAGTTCAAGGCACAGACACAACGAATAAAAATATATTTATATAAATGTATATTTATATTTAGATGTATAAAAAATATATTCATATATTAATGTATAAATCATTTATATTTTTTGAATATTTTATTTTTAATAAGAAATTAAAATTATTAATTATATTAGAAATACTCAACTTAAGATTATATATATAATCATGAATTATAAATATGAAATATATAATTATTAAATTTAGTTTAAAAATATATAAATCTTAAATTTATTCTTTTAAAATATTGTATCAACTAATATTTAAAAAATATATTAAATCTATCAAACAATTTATCAAATATAATATTTTTTTATTGTAAAAAATATAATATTTTCCCATCATTTATTGCTTTCAAATTTTTTGCCGAAGTTCAAATCTCATTATTTCCATTTTACATTATATTCTTTTTTTTCTGGCATTGGTCATACTATTAGTATATGTATT